CCCCCTCATTTCCCCCTCCTGATGCCTGGGATTTATCCACATAAGATCAAAGGATCACTTTATTCATTATCACACTTTAACAATCTGTTTATTATTATTTATTTATCCCTCCATAGAACCACCCCTCACACCGAGGAGGTTGTTTGGAGTGGGTCCCAACCTGGGGCCTGGAGTCTGAAGTCTGAGGTACCCTCCTCCCGCATTTTGTGGCTTAGATGGGGGCGTGGTCCAGGCAGAACTGGTGTCTCCTTTTGGATACTGCAGAAGGAAGGGGGACCTAGGTACACCCATAAAGGTGGCCATGCCCAGGAGGGTTGATTGGCAGGCTGGAAGACAAAATTCTCCCAATAAAGGCACTTTTACCTCAATAGGGGGCTGGGAATTGGTTGGCTGGGAGTGTTGTTCTAGGGGCGAGGAGGAGTTACTTCGATGGAGGAGTTATTTGCAGGCTGCAGAATGAAGGGAATTTGCCTATGCCGGGCCATCTGCGGGGTCTGCAGGTGAGGAAGAAAAAGCATTGGCTGGATCCATATGCCCATTTTACAGACAAGAATACTGAAGCTTATAGTACTTATTGGTATAAAAACCATAAGCACAAATAAGGGGCAGAGTTGGCATTCATATCTTCGGGGATCCCTTTCCCTTTCTCCTCTGCCCTCTCAGCACCCCCACCCCCCACACACATACACACTTACCAGTGGGGGCTGCTGTATGTCTTTGCTGCCGAAGGGGGAAGGTGACATAGGCATCATAGCCAAAGAGGCACGTAGCGATTAGGCCCAGTACCTGGGGGGTGGGATGAGAATAAGGGGGGTGGATCAGGTGGTCAGCCTACTCAGCTTCTTACCTCCTTGTATCCACCACCTCCAGTGACTGCCCCATGCAGGATGGCGACTCAAGCCCCAGGTTGGGAAAGCAGGGAGCCACAGGGAAAGGCCAGGAAACTGGATTCTACCCCACCCTCCCTCCTAGTACCCCTCAACACAGGGCAGCCACACGATGGGCCCATACGTTGAGGGAACCATCCCCATTACATTTGAGACAAAGTTCTGGCAGATGGTAGCCTAGTGTGTTGAAGGGGCAACCTGTTTGTACTTCCCACAAAGGTCCCTGTGTCGAAAAAGGGATGGCCCTTTACAACAAATGAACTTGAGAGGCAAACCCAGGGCCTGGGCCAGTCACTCCTACAAGCCTTGAGGGCAAGTGTAGCCTGCTGTGGGTCACACACGTTCTGCTAGAAGTAGAGGCAGAAATGGCCTCTGGATCCTCAAACCCTTCTCTCTGTGCTTTGGAGCTGCCTCCACGGCCTTTACCCCTGCAACGATTTTGGAGTGGTTTCCTCTCTCAGCAAGGACGATTATGGAGGTGATCAGGTAGAGGATGGCCGCTATGAGGGTTCGGAAGAAATCCTGTGAGATGTAGGGAGAAGAGGGAGGTGAGCGTCCAGAGCTCCCGGGCAATCTCACCTGCTCGGGCCCCTCCCCAGCCTCGCCATTGTTGGCCCCTTTCTCACACTCCAGGGCCAGTTGATGAATGGTATCTTGGTGTGCAGGTCACACATGTAGATGACAAAGAAGATAGCAGCAAGGATCATCTCAACCACTGACAGTGAGGAGTACCCTGGTGTTGAGGCACTGAAGCAGATCAGAATCACCAGGCACAATATCTGGAGGGGTGACATAGAAAAGGGGTCTTGATCAGCTCCCATGGCTGAGGGAATTGGTTTAAATTGGGGGCCTCAAACTCAGATGCCTACCAGGACTAGGAAAATGACACACAATGATAGCTAAACACTTTTTGTGTGCTCACCGTGTTGTAAACATTGTTCTAAGAGCTTTACAAGTATTAATTCACTTAATCATCACAGCAACCTAATCAGCTGGGTACCATTTTTAGCATCTTTATTTTATATATGAGAAAAGTGAGATACAGACAGGTTAAGTGGCTTGCCCAGGGTCACCCAAAAAGCAAGGAGTAGAGTTGGGTGCCTCAGTTTCCCTCCTTTTCCTTGCTAGCATATGGGCGGTCTGAGAGGAGTGGCTCTGCCAGGTGTTTTGTGAGCACCGCTGGCGCCACCTTCGTGGCCTTGAGGGGGTGGGACGTGCGGTTCCCCGAGCAATCCCTCTGGGAAGCAGTGAGAGTTACACCTGAGGGGCCGGGCTCCGTTAAAGGCGCCGCACCTCTTTTACAAGTGACTCGAAGGTGGCGCCCACTTTGAGAGGGGTGGGAAAACGAGGCTCCCAAGCGGCCCGAAGAGCTAAGGACCTCCCGCCAGGCCCCAGAAGGGCGAGCAAGAACTGGCAAGAGCGGAGCGCCCTACCCCGCGGGACCAGCGCGCGGAGCCCCACCCCAACAGGCCCCGCCCCTGGGCGCGCTGCCAGCCCGCCTGCCAGTGCCGAGGCCGCGCCACGCCCTGCCACGGGAAGCCCACACCTCCCAGCCCCCCGGGACCCCTTCGATGCGTCCACTGATGAGTCCGTGCGGGCTGCCACCACGAAGTCCCCCCTCGACATGCATTATAGGCTCCTCGCCTCACTCCCTGGGGGCCACCAGCTCTTGACCACCTTCCCCAAACTCCACCTACTGGCCCTGCGCCCCTGGTTTCGGGCCTCCGCCACGAATTCCCCCACCTGCGCCCCACTGCCCAGCGCCCCGGCCACGTGCCTGCCTCACCCTGGACTGTCCAGTTCCGCGTGGTCCAGCCACCACACCCGCCTTTGCCCCCCCGCCTGCCCTGGACGCTCACAATCTCAGCAAACAGGAGAATTCCCTTTCGGGTGCGCGAGAAGCTGGTGCAGGCTGCCCAGCAGCCGGGGGCCGAGAGGCGCTCGGAATCATCCATGGCGTGGGCAGGAGTCCCTGGGGGCGCGAAGGGTCTGCTCGCTCGCTCGTGGGTTCAAGGACGCTGCACACCCAGCAGTCTTGCCCGCCGACTGGCCGGGAAGGGGGGCCCCGGGGCGAAGGAGGCAGTGAATCACCGCGCTGAGCAGAAGCGGGCGGGGCCGGAGGGGGCTGGGCCAGGTGGCTGCCGCCCCGGAAGCCCCTCTCCTCGCCCGCCAGGGATACTCCGGCCGGCGCGCAGCCCCCCGGGGCGCCCCATCTCCGGGGTGCTTGGCAGCTCCAAGTACCAGGCGCAGTAATGGCGAGACCCTTCGCCTTTTTAGAATACAAATGTGCCCCGCGCTGCTTCAGAACCGTGAGAATCTGGCTTTTGGAGGGAGTGACTCAGTTTCCTTAGCTGAAAACACCGCAGACAGCCGAGGCATTGGTTAAAACCGAAAGACTCGGGGCCAGGTATGTTTCCAGAATTCGGAATATTTTGGATTTTATAAAGTTTTCCTGGTACATATGCAGTATATTTCTTAACACTCTCAGCAGGGTCTGGGGCTGCCGCGTAAAAAAAAAAAAAACACGTTAATATTTCCTCAAGGAATGTTCACAATAAGCAGGATAAGTAAGGATTGACAATTCTTCCTCGTTAGGTCAGGTCAAATTTTGTAGCCAAATGGTTCCAAAATTGTGGGGAAAAGCTCGGTTTCCAGAGCTTTGGGGACTCCGGAGTTGCAGATAAAGGATCGTGGATGTTGGAATAATAAACCTCTTAGCAGCGATAAGAATGAGGCCATGCCAGTGCAAAAACTGAGCAAGAACAGGGCCTGGTGAGCTTCGAGCTACTCAGTAAATGGGAGCAGACCCTGTTTATAGTGTTAGAGCCAGGGAGCCCAGGGTCTGATTCTGTGCTCTGCAATCCCGGGGAAGTCCTGGTCCTCAGTGCTGAGAAGAAGGGTCAGTCAGCCCAGCCCTAGGTGAGGAATATGAAAGGAGCATAAATTTGTTGCTGGGAGGTTGGCAAGGTGAGGTGATGGCTCCTGGAGTGCAAGATTGGGTGACAAAGCTGATGACATTTGCAGAGTGTGTTACCCTGAGCAAGTAATTTCTCCTGGTTCAGCCTCAATTTTTGCATGAGACATGCATCTAGTTGCCTGGAATCAGGATCCCCAAGGTGTGCTGAGGGACACTTTTCAGACTGGACATTGGTTTTATTCTCACCTCATTTGAGGTGGGGAAAATTATAGCTAGAAGGCCAGGAGAGTTCAACCCAAGGTCCTGTCTGGTCCCCCCCAACACAGGACCCCTCAAAACTAAGGAAGAGGCTCCTCTCTTTCAGCCCAAGTTGCTGAAAGAGTGATCGAATAGTGGAAGGGATGAAACACTTTTCCCAGTGCTGAGTGTGTGCTTTCCAACTCTGTGAGGACATGCCTGAGTTTCTGGAACAAGACAAATCCTGCTCCATCTTAGGGCTTTTGTTCTCGCTGTTCCCACTGCTGTCAATGCCCTTCCCCCACCTCTTCATACATCCAGCTTCTGGTCATTCAGGTCTCAGCTCAAATGTTTCATCTTCAAAGAGGCCAGCAGCCCACCATTATCTCCCCCAACATAACCTCCTTCTGCTATCTTCGTAACTCACTTCTCTCTGAAATTCTTTTTTTTAATTATCTTTTATTTATTCATTTTGTTGTCTTTCCTGTCTGACATCTGTCTACCCCCGTTACATCAGCTACACAGGGATCGAAATCTTCGTGTCTTCTTCTCCCAGCTTCTCCACAGTACCTATTACAGTGCAAGTATACAGTTGGGATTCAATTAATACTTGCCAAATGCAGATGAGATTAAGGGAACAGGCTTGGGAATCAGGAATTGATTAAATCTTGCTTCAACCCCCTCCCTCAAGCTATTTGCACTCTCTGGACCTCACGTTCCTCCTCTGTGAAATGGACATATCAGGGTTGTTGAGTAGACTGGTAACTACAAGAAAATAAATATTGCAATAAAGCCAGTGGCAGGGATAAGGCTAAGTAAATGGTGGCTGGGGTTACTATACTTAGTCTCCTGGGTGTGACCATGTTTATAAGACTGGGGCTGTAGAGCCCTTTCCTGACTTCTGTAAAGGCACACCTCCACCAGGTTCTGAGTCAGGGGTAGCTGGAAGCTCCCCGGCACACCCCCACAATGCCTGCAGTGCCAATCATTCAAGTGTTCACCTCTTTACTTTTTCATACTCCAGCATCCAGATCAGCTTTGCAGTCACTTTCTCCTCTCCAGCGCCATAGCCACACTGGGCTCTCGCTCTCTGGTTCTTTAATTTCTCTCTCCCTTCCCCGCCCCCTCCCCATCAGGGCGAAAGTTGCCCTTTCCTGGCAGACCACAGCTTCACTCGTTGGGGGGATGGGGCCGAGTGCTCAGGATGTGGTGACAGCGGAGGTGACTGGACATTACTGGTTTTAGCCAGAGCCTGCCTCAGGGCTACTCTGGTTGGAGTCCCACTGGCCATATAAAGCCCTGGCTGTGGGGCTCTGTTCTCAAGCTGGAGGAAACTCTGGGCCTCTCTGGGGACCGGGAACGCCCAGCGTATGGCATGTGCACACAAGCCCGGCCAGCCGCAGTTCATCACCATCTACGGAAAAAGGGGGCGAGGCCCAAAGATTCTAACAGCTTTTTTTAGCCCGGGCCACCCGGGGGCGCTGACTCACACCTTCCCGGCTCCGCCCCAAAGTGGGCTCCAGGGCACCAGCCCGTGCCCTGAGGGTGGCAGTCTCTATGCCAGAAAGCTGGCCGACTAGGCCGGAAGTGGGAGACCGCAGGCTACTGGCGAAGGAAGCCGCCCTGCTTCTAGCCTTGCTATCCCGACGTCAGCTGAGGGTCTGGAAGATCCCGAGCCAGGTCTGTGGGTATACTGGGGCACACCCGCCACAACAGCAGGCCCACTTCTGCATTCCCCACGCCATGAGCAATAATTATGTGTGAACCCCTGCACACCTCCAAAAACGTGAAATGAATGAATGGGGAGATAAGCAGGAGTTGGCAAAGAAGAAAGGAGTGGGGAGAAAGTACGCCGGACTGAGGACCGGCAGAAGTAAAGACGCAGCTGCAAGCATGAAAGAAACAGCACGAAGCTTGGAGGTGGTTACAAAAAGAGGCCCTCCTCGAAACCGTAACGACCCCCTCACTTGACAGGGCGAACTGTGCGGCGCCACCCCGCCTGGGAGCACCCGGTAAGTCAAGACTAGATGGAACCGTTTTATTACCTCCCCCGCCTGAACCAACAAGCTCTGGGCTGGCGGGTCTGGGAGGGCCGCACCACTGACGCTGCGAGTTGAGTGTGGGCCAATCAACTGTGCAGCGGGAGGGGGGATCACACCAAATGGAAGCTCTTGGGGCGATGATAGTGCGAAGAGGCCGGAGGGGCACGAAAAATCCAGGTCGGGCCGTACCCAGTGAGAATGGAGTCGTCTGATGTATGCTCAGTGCCTCCGCCTTCCCGCTGCCATCTCCTGAGCAAGCTGCGCAGCCCTCGGGACCCCTAGGGCCCGCGAGAGCTGTTCCTCGCTCGGCACCAGCCAGGGCCCCGGGGAACCGGGGATACGGTTGTCGGGGTCCTCCGTGTGGCGCTCAGGAAGAAGAATGGCGGTGCTGTCCGCCGCAGCCTCTGGACCAGGCTCCGGGCTGCCCTGGGTCTTGAGCTTTGTATGGGATCGAGGGTGCTGAACTGGGGAATTGTTGCCGCTGCCAGACCTCATCAACTCCAGCCCCCTAGGATCTGGGCTGCGAACTGGGGATGGCAGAACTGTGGGTTAGATTGGGTGGTGGGATGGGGAGTGGAAACCTGGGCCCTTGGCCAAGGGTGGACAGGAGAGCCCAAGGGCTCTGGGAGACAGAGACCCCTTAGAGAAACCTCCCTTCAAGGCCTGGAGGTGCCCTTCAGGAACTGGCACCACCTCTCATAACTCCTGACATCTCTCACAAGACCCCTCCTCTCAGGACATAACCCTAGAAATCATTTCCCACAATCCCCAAAGGAAATCAAACCCGACCTTGACCTTGGGACAACAACCCCCTCACATCTGGGACCTCTGACTCCCCCCTCTTTCATTCCATCTCCCTTAGTTAAGGAGGCTGCGGCCTGTAGGGGAGAGGGGCACAGCTCAGCGCCAACCCTTTCCCTAATGAACCCTTTGTCTTTCAGCACTAGACCCCCTATCCTCTAGATCCCCATTCCATCTCCTCCCAGCTAAGACCTACTCTGCCTTCCCCTCTGAGGACTAAGACCCTTCCTCCTGAACATCTTCTTTTACCCCAGACTCCTTCCCTCCTTTCCCCTCCCAGTACCTTGAAAGCCTCCCCTCTGAAATTCCTATACTAGGACCGGCCCACCTCCGTGTTCCTGCTTTTGAGAATACCATGACCCTTGGAAGATCCCACCAAACCCTTTCCAACCAGGATCCAGCCTCTCCACTCTGCGAACCTCTCCTTCTCACAGATCCCTGACCCCCTCACCCCTGGGAAACCCACTATCTCCTTTCTGGGGTCCTCCCACCCCCTCAGGCTTGCCGGGGTGGGTCTCAAGAGGCCGGTGGAGCACAAGGTGAAGCCGGGGTCCTCCAGCGCAGATCCGCTCCACGACCTGGGCATGGGTGAGGCCCAGCGCTGACTCTCCGTTAATTTGGAGCACTAGGTCGCCGGCCTGAAAGATCACGAGGCAGTGTTGTAGGAAGGAGAAATGGAGAGCACTTCCACAAAGGTAGAGATAGTACCTACGAATGGAGGGTGTATTAGGGCTCACCTGCAAACGACCGCAGCGCTGTGCTGGCCCGTCCTTTAGCAGCCCGCGCACGGCCAGTGGAGCGTCCGCAGCAGCATCTCGGCCCCCACTTAAGGTGAGGCCAAAGCCTACGGAATCGCGGACCAGATCCACACAGAACCGGCCAGAGGCCTGGAGCGGCTTTGAAGCAAAACGTGCCTTACCCTGGGTCACTCGGGGAGGCGCTGTAAACGTACCCAGATTCTCTGACCGACGATGCTGGAGTAAGGACACGGGTGTACATAGATAACCAGCCCCTAGGCAGGTGGCCTTGAATAGAAGGATAATGTGGTACCTGGGACGGGCGTTCCACAACAGTGGCATGAGGCAGGCGACTGTCTGTGACCTCTATGTCTGCAGAGTCCAATGAGCTAACGGCTGGGGGATGAAAGTGGCGGAGAGGGCTATCAGGGGAAACGCCAAGGAAACTACCTAGACCCTGCTCCCTGAATTAACATACTAGACTCATCTTCTTGCTTAGCATCTACAACTCATATATGAGTACATATTCGACCACCATTTAGCTATCTCGGCACCACCCCCTGAAGTAATCTTAAAGGCTCCCACCACTCGAATAACTGTCCTGTTGCCACCGTATTAACAAATACTCCTGGGCCCTGCAATTTGAATAGACCTCCAGACCTTCCTACCACCGTCTAATGACACGCAGGCCTCACCCCTCATATAACACCCTGAGGCCCACCCTGGAGGGTGCTACTCCAGGACTTAGCCCTCCCCTCAATATTCTAGGCCCCCGCCCTCTAATCACCCTCTAAATCTCATCCCATGCCTGACATTTCTAGCCCCACCCCATGCACTTATAGGCTCCACCCCTTGACTAGCATTCCAGGCCCGCCCCTTTGCTGACTACCCACCCCCAGCACTCTCCAGGCTCCGCCTCCTCAGAAATGACGTTTGAAGCCCCGCTGGCCGGAATAACGATCCGGCCCAGCACCCTCAATTAATCTTCTCTGGCAGCCCCCTACTGCAACAACTCTGAAGGAATATTCTAGGATAATCCCAAGGCCCCGCCCCCTCGAAGCACCCTCGGAGCCCCGCCCTCCCAAGTCACACCCCTTGGCCCCACCCAGGGAGGCTGCGGCCTGCAGGGGAGAGAGGCGCGGGTCAGCGCCGCCCCTCACTCTCGGCGAACTCCCACGCTGCCAGGCGTCCGAAGACCTAGCTATGCCCCTCAAGATACCCGGAGACCCCGGCCACTTCCTCGATAGTGCCAGAGGTTGCCGACTGTCCCTCTCCTCTCCCACGACCCCCGACCTTCGCGGGGACGACCGTGGCTCCCCGCCTGCCCCCACGATGTCCCTGGAGTTATTTATTTGACTGCAATGGTCCTGGACACCTCCGAACACCCTATGAATTTCTCTGGAGGTCTCCGACTGCCCCCTAGTAATCCTCATGCCAAACTTCCCCCGCAATATCTCTGGGGACCCTGCTTCGCCCAGATATCCCGAGAGAACACGGCCTGCACCCCGTAGCCCCGGGACCCCCCATTCCCCCTCCAGATATTCTAGGCAACCCCTGATACTCCCACGAATTCCCTCAGAGGCCCCATTTCCCCACATGGCCCACATACCTCCAGATTCTCCCTCCACAGATCCCCAGGGCCCCCTAATTCACTGCAGAACCTGAGTGCCCAGGTATCCCCAGTGACCGCGGGCAGACCCCTTACAGCACATCTCCCCGGAGACTCCTGAAAGCCCCCCCCCCCCCCCAAGTCTGGTGCGCGGCCCCTCCGCTCGGGTGTGGGTAGGGGGCCTCGGAGCCCAGCCCCAGTCGCTGGGCCCTTGCCCGCTGCCGCCGCCTCTTGGGCGCCAGAGCTGCTCTGTTTACCACCTGTCTGGAAGGAAAAGGTGAGGAGCAGACAGGCGGGGCGAGGGTGGCAGGGGCCTCTCCCCCTCCCTTCCCCACCCCACCGCCGTACCTTCTCTGCTCCCCGTAGTGTTCGCGGCGCCCCTGGCACGAGGCTCCATAGCCAGTTGTCGGCCAGATGGACGCACGGCCGCCGCCAGCGACGCGTTTTGAGCGCAGGGGAGAGCTCACCTGGCGTCCCGCCCAGTCCTGCAGGCGACTGAAGCCGTCCGGTCCCGTGCCCGGCGTCCAGACCTGCTCGGTGACCTACCTGGCGGCTGGCAGGAGCGCTTGGCCTCGCTCTGCCTCAGCGCGGCCTCCGTTAACTGAAGACCCTGGGCTAAAATTTAAAAGTCTAGGCCGGCCCGTGGCTCACTCGGTAGAGTGCGGTGCTGATAACACCAAGGCCACGGGTTCGGATCCTATATAGGGATGGCCGGTTAGCTCACTGGCTGAGCGTGGTGCTGACAACACCAGGCCAAGGGTTGAGATCCCCTTACCGGTCATCCTTTTAAAAAAAAATAAAATAAAATAAAAATTAAATGTCTGACCAACCAACTATTGCCGAAGACATGGAGGAAATGGAATTCTAATATACTGCTGGTGGAAATGTAAAATGGTAGAGCAACTTTAGAAAACAATTTGACAATGTCTTGTCTTAAAAAGTTAAACGTACACATAAGATCCAGCCATTTCACTCCTGGGTGTTTAACCTAAAAGAAAGCATACATCTACACAAAGTCTTGTATACGAATATTCATAGCAGTTTTATTTCTTGTCTTTGTCATCTTGTCCTGCCATAACAAAATAGCATAGGCTTAATCATGAGAAATATACGATTTCGTTATTTCTCACACTTCTGGAAGAGAGCAAGTCCAAGATCAAGGAGCTGGCCAATTTGGTTCCTGGAGGGGGGTCTCTTCCTGGCTTTCAGATTCAGGTATCTGCCTTCCTGCATTGTCCTACATGGAGTTGAGTCAGAGTGAGAGAGACAGAGATCTCTCTCTTCATCTTTAATTTTTGTTTTGTTTCGTTTTGGTTTTGGCGGCTCTCCAGTAAGGGGATCTGAACCCTTTACCTGGGTGTCATCAGCACCATTTTTGAACTCTTCATCCTATCTGATTATGGTCTTACACTTTGACCTCATTTAACCTTAATTACCTTCTACACACCCTATCTCCGGATACAGTCACATTGGGGGTTAGAGATTTAACATATAAATTGAGGGGAAGGACACGATTCAATCCAAAGCATTTGTTAATAGCTCATAACTGGAAACAACCCAAATGTCCCTCAGTAGGTGGTGAATGGATCAACAACTGTGGTATATTCATACAGTGGAATACAACTCAGTAATAAAAAGGAATGAACAATTTGGATGGATCTCAAAATAATTATGCTAAGTAAAAGAAGCCAGGTCCACCCACCAAAAAAAGTACATGCTGTATGATTCCATTTATATGAAAATCTAGTAAAATGAAAACTGATGTATGATGCAAGAAGGGGATCAGTACTTGCCTGGGAGGAGGGGGCTTGGGAGCAGGAAGGAGGAATTATAATGGGGCAGGAGAAAACTTTTGGCAGGGATGGATATGTTCACTATCTTCATTGTAGTGATAGCTTCACGGATGTAAACATATTCAAAAACTATCAAGGGCCCAGCCCGTGGCGCACTCGGGAAAGTGCGGCGCTGGGAGCGCAGCAGCGCTCCCGCCGCAGGTTCGGATCCTATATAGGGATGGCCTGTGCGCTCACAGCGCTCACTGGCTGAGTGTGGTGCGGCCAGTCTCAAAAAGGACCAAAAAAAAAAAAAAAAACCTATCAAACTGAATGTCAACTATACCTCAACCAGTGTAGTGGACTGAATTATGCCCCCCCAAAATTCACTGAAGCTTGAATTGTGTCCCCTAGGTTTTATGTATTAGAAACTTGGTCCCCAGGCCGAGCCCGTGGCGCACTCGGGAGAGTGTGGTGCTGGGAGCGCAGCAGCGCTCCCGCCGCGGGTTCGGATCCTATATAGGGATGACCGGTGCGCTCACAGCTCTCACTGGCTGAGCGTGGTGCAGCCAGTCTCAAAAAAAAAAAAAAAAAAGGACAAAAAAAAAAAAAGAAACTTGGTCCCCACTGTGACTGTTAAGAGGGTGGGAAATCCTATTATGGTAATTGAAAGGTGGAGCCTTGAAGAGGTGATTGGATTGTAGGACAGTGCAGTAATGAATGGATTAAAAATGGTGGTCAGGGGCATGGTTCTGAGGGCTTTATTTATTTATTTTTCTTTTTTTAAAAAAGATGACTGGTAAGGAGATCTTAACCCTTGACTTGGTGTTGTCAGCACCACACTCACCCAGTGAGCTAACCGGCCATCCCTATATGGGATCCGAACCTGGAGCCTTGGTGTTATCAGCACCACACTCTCCCGAGTGAGCCACGGGCTGGCCGATTCTGAGGGCTTTAAAAGAAAAGAGAGGAGAGTCTGTGTCTGTCTGCTCTGTCTGCTCCACCATTTCACAATGTGATACCCTACGTCACTGAAATCACCACCAAGACCCTCACCAGATGTGTTCCCTGGACTTTGGCCTTCTGAGTCTCTGAAACTATAAGCAATAAATTTTGTTTTCTTATAAATCACTTAGTTCCGTGTATTTTGTTATAAGCAACAGAAACAAACTAATACAGAAAATTGGTAACTTCTGGGAAAGCGATTAATGCATTTTCAGTTGTACACAGTATAGTTGTATCATGTTAGGTGAAACTATTATGTTATTGTACCATTTGAAGGTTAAGTATGATTTGAGGAGATAGTATGGGCACCAACTTGACAAGGGGTGGACTCATGAAGGTTAATTCTAGGTGTCGACTTGATTAGATTAAGGAATGACAAGAAACTGGCAAAGCTATCTTTTTAGGTGTGTCCATGAAGGTGTTTCCAGCAGAGATTAGCCTTAGAGCCTGAGTGGACTGGGTGGGAAAGACCTGCCCTCAATGTGGGTGGGAACCATCCAATCTGCTGGGGGCCCAGAGAGAATGAAAAAAAAAAAGGTGAAGCTCTCTCTATCTGCTGGAGGTGGGATACACTCTTCTGTCCGTGGGCATCAGAGCTTGAGACTCTTCAGCTTTGGGGTTCCTGGTCAAGGACACCATCAGCTTCCCTGGTTCTGAGGCTTTCAGACTTGGACTGAGCCATGCTACTGGCATCCGGTTTGCTGATGGCCTGTCATGAGACTTTTCCACAAAATCACGTGAGCAAATTCCCCTAATAAATTCCCTCTCATATATTTATTCCATATCCTATTAATTCTGTCTCTCTGGAGAGCCCTGACTAATACAGATTTTTGGTACAAGGAGTGGCGGCAAAGGCATAACATAAAGCCAGAATTTAAAAGGGAAGCAGAGTATAAAAATTTAGAAAATGTGCAGCCTGGCCATGTGGTGCAGAAGTAGAGAGCATGCAATGGTGC